CCTTTGATCTCAATCAAAAAGATGACATCTTTAGAACAACAAAACTAAAGGAAACAGAGACAGATACAAGAAACCTCATATTCAAAGACTCAACAATTCTCTCTATCAAATGATCTTTCTAAGCAACAACGAAACTAACAAAACCTAAGCTTGATTCCTCAATCCTAAACAACTACCATTTCAATTGATTTAGCAACCTAATGAGATTTAAGAGTAACTTACTCGCTGAGAATAGCAATAGGATTATCATTGAAATCAACAAGTGCGACTCGTTTCGATTCTCCAATTAGGACTTTTTGCTCATCATCAATTGCGAGAACGATTGGTACAGACATGTTAACGATTATGTTGGTATAAAATATTGCTGTATCAATTTTGTTACGATTATGTTGTCACTACTTAGTAGTAATTTTGCTACAACCTAAATGCATAGCTAAGTGCCTAATTTATCACTAATTAGTTACAGATTCCTTACAAAATTCTACAAATTATAAGATGTCTTTATTTGTCACTAAATTGTATCTAATTGTCGCAAAATTTTGTTAGAAACTATCATTGTCGCAAAATTTGTAACTATGTACACATTTTTTTGTAGTATATAGTTTGTAGCTAATTGTAATTGTTGTGACTATTTTATTTGTAACTATTATTGAAGCAAATTTAGTTTCTGTCACAAAATGCTTCAAAAACAATTGTAACAATATTCGTCACAAGTTTTTTGTAACTAGTTGAAGAAAATTTGCTACAATTTTGAGTTAGTAGCTATTTTGTCACAAATTTGCTACAAATTAATGATTTCATAATTTTGTCACAAATTTGTATCTAATCGTAGCTAAAATTTGCTACAAATTGTTGTTGTAGCAAAATTTGTGGCTATTTTCACCTATTCTTGTAGTGATACTTAATTTAGATATTTAGACAAAAATAGATCCCAAGCCTCTCTATATATATAGTTCCACTCCTCAAAAACAAATATAATGTTAAAAAGAAAACAATCAAGAACATGGCAAATACTCAAGGAAAGATCATAACTTGCAAAGGTAAGTAAATTACTCAACATCTAAATATGTAATTTTTTTATACAGTTG